TGAAAGTGAAATCTTACACCGAAGCTTGTAACCAAAAGACTACAAAGCGCAAAAATGAACATTTTGGACTAAAGTCTTCAACATCATTACAAAACAACAAGAGATACTAATATAATTCTACGTTCCTATAAAAACAGTATCTGGTGTGTCTGTGTGTGTGTGCGTGTGCGTGTGTGCGTGTGTGTGTGTGTGCGTGTGCGTGTGCGTGTGTGTGAGAGAGAGAGAGAATGAGAGAGAGAGAGAGAGAGAGTGCGAGCGAGAGCGAGAGAGAGACAGAGAGAGAAAAACAGAGATAGACAGAGAGACAGAGAGACAGACAGACAGACAGACAGACAGACAGACAGACAGACAGACAGACAGACAGACAGACAGACAGACAGACAGACAGACAGACAGACAGACAGACAGACAGACAGACAGACAGACAGACTGAACAAACTAAACGTCGACGATTGTATAACTATACAAACCAGTCTGAACTCACTGAGTTTTTAATACAAAGTTGCCATTTTTATTCAGTCTGTATAGAAAGCTAATCAATGGATTTATTTTCACATTCACTGAAAATAAGACAATATACCTGGTGGCATCAGTAGCTAGCTATTAGTCCATGCGGTATGGCGTTGGTAGTCAACTCTATCTACAACCATATGTCTTATGTACTTTCAATCAATTCTGACACAGAGGATCTCCCATAGTACATGTTGGTAGTCATCTCTGTCTACAACATTATATCTCGTGGATTTTCATTTAATTCTGACACAGAGGATCTTCCATAGTCTATGCGATGTGGTATTGGTAGTCATCTTTACAACATTATATCTCGTGTACTTTCAATCAACTCTGGCACAGAGGACCTCTTGTATTCAGTGCAGTGTGGTGTTGGTAGTCATCTCTATATACAGCCTTATATCTCTTGTACTTTCACCCAGTTCTGACAGACAGGATTCACTGAGTCATAATGTCAAACTGTCCAGTCTCTTATCTCCCGGTCTCCTTTGCCCCCCCCCCCCCCCCACCCCCAGTTTTCCCACCGATACGAGAAACGTCAGATTTCTCCTTCTAGATTGCCTCCTTCTGATGTGAGTTCTCCTTGAGAGTCAAGTTTCTTTCATGACATCTTGAGAAGAATTGGCCGAATAAAAAACTTCGACGTGCCTGCTCATTAAAGAAAGTTGTAACTGGTGTGAAACTAGCTGGTTTCAAGCGAGGGGAAATCGCGAATTGCGAAGATACAAGTTTACATTTGGGTAAGCTACACCCAGAAAAGTATATGTATAGGGGGTGTTTAGATGTCCAGTGGACTAGACATAACACATATTTAATGCGGATCACTACAATAATGAGTTAAATTAACTTGTACAGTAAGTGCTGTGTTTAGTATTGGGGACGAAATCAAGGTCAACACATAGATACTAGTAATTTTTTTATGATAATGATTACGATACTATTATATAAAACTGACAGGTCATGTCAGTGATAACTTCATTATATCTACAGACAGGCCTTGACAGTTATTACTTTATTATATACGCTGACTGAGCATGCAATTAATTACGAAGCTATTATACACGCTGACATATTACGTCATTATATACATAGACGTATTATGCCATCTATTGGGATGCTTTTAAAAACAAGGGATCATGCAGGTGATCATGCTATTATATGTTCTGACTGATCATGCAAACAATTACAATGCAATTCAATAGATACACTGACAGATTATGTCAGCGATTATGATGCAATTATAGACACTGACATTACGTCGTAATTCACACCAACGTAATATGTCAGCCATTGCTATGTCATTCATTATATACACTGACTGATCATGTCAGCGATTAAGAGCCATTAAAACCGTTGAGGGATCTTGCAAGTAATCATGCGATTACATACTTGACTGATCACGTCAGCGATTACGATGCAATTAAAATCGTTGAGCGATTCTGCAAGTGATCATGCGATAACTATTTTTTGGCCAACACTATGCTATCAATGTCAAACGTAGACACTTACATCCTCCATTGAACGTAAAATTGTGACAACAGAGATGAAATGCCTTAGAAGAGCTGCAGGAGTTTCAAGGAAAGACAGAATACGAAATCATGAAATCAGACGAAGGCTAGGAATAAAGCTAGTCTTACAGGTCATCAAAGAACAACAAATGAAGTGGTTTGGACACCTAACAAAAATGCCCTGGTACTATCCGGCACAGCGAGCCACACTAAAACGTTACAACGGGTATAGAGCGTGTGGAAGACCTCGGAAAATATGGAGTGATGGCATTAAGAACAGCCTTACAGAAATGAACATCAGTCTTAATAGTGCTCTTGACGGAGTTCATCAACGAACATTACATCTTCCCCCGACACTTCGATGAGGTACAAGGTGGAAGAGAAGAAGATCATGCGATTACATACTTGACTGATCACGTCGGCGATTACGATGCAATTAAAACCGTTGAGCGATTCTGAAAGTGATCATGCGATTACATAGTTGACTGATCACGTCGGCGATTAGGAGCCATTATATACATTGATTGAGCAAGCTAAAGATTACAAGATTTTACTGTGTAATGCAGGAAATGCTCATGATTTGTATTTAGGGCCAGAGTGCAGGGTAGAACACAAAGAAGAGGGTTGAGCTTTTAGCCACACAGGGTTGAGTCTCTGGAGGTGTGCTTATGCAGAGGAACAGGTTTCATGGAAATAAAAACAGTCAAATACAAATGTTCTGAAGACATTTAGAATGAGAACCACTAAAAGGAAGAAAACTGGACAAGTGAAATATTTTTGCCGTATCAAAATTCATAACACTTATAAATACCATACTCGACGAATGTAAACGGACTTTCTTGTTTAGTTTGAGTTAAGCATAAGGCTAGGACAAACAAAATAAAGGTTTTCCTAATGTGTGCTTGGTTGTTTCAGAAACTTCACGAAAGATGTTCGGATTTATTACCCTAGACAGTTTGAATTCAATGTCAATAGAAGACAGACTGGCTAAACTTTATAAAGCCTTTACCGAACACATTTTAGTGACTAATTCTTTTAAGTCTTCACTGGACAATTTTCAATAGCCGATAGGGCTTTTATTTTCGTTTTCTAACAAATAAATATTATAAAGTCGAAGAAAACAACAACAACCGGGGTAACTATACAGGAGCCAACGAGATAACACTGCAGGCTAAATAAACATAAAATGCAAGCACTACATTTTAGTTGTTTACACATTTAAAAGTGTATGCAGCCATAGTGTGGTAATGATAATTATCAACACTCCCTTTCAGTAAGTGCTGAGTGAGTGAGTGAGTGAGTGAGTGAGTGAGTGACCTTCAGCCTTACCAGGACCGCACAGGGAACGACTAAACATCCGGTGACACAAAATGCCATCATTCGGATGAGAAGCCTTCAGACGCAAGTCCCAGAAACTCTATTTAACCGTTAAGTTTTATTAGACCCCCCCCCCCCCCTTTTCCCTCTTCAGCCGGGTGAGGGTATAAAATAAGAAACAAATTTGCATTCCATATAGTGATAGGATGTAATCAGTTGTAAGTGGTGAAGGAAATAGGATGCTCCTCTGCCTTGAGCGCAATAAGGTCACTTACGCCAATCAATAACTAACAGAGAAGGTTAACTTACAAAAAAATACTTTAGTCATATCAAGCGCCACGGCGAATTGAAAAAAAATTATAATAGCAGAAGGCATGGTACCAGGAAGGAGAGGCAGAGGCCAACCAACACGAAGATGGGCATAAGATGTATATGACTCCTTGAATATGAAAGTACACGAGGTGAGAGACCGAGTTTCTTTCAGGCAGACCGTGATGAGAGCGACGTTCTGCAAAGGACCTGCTGCATGATGGAGATCTCACGTGATAAAGGGAGCAACTAAACACATCTGTTGCCAAATTTTTCAGATAACTGTCACTGTAGACAGGCAGAACTGAAGCTAGCAGGGGAGAAAATACGACCTTCGTAAAGAATGATTTGGACGCTGTAAACAGCTTGAGATTAGACAGTGTTTCCCAATGTGGGGCATTTTGATTATTAAGGGGGGCAATTTGATTGTTAAAGTGAAGGGGGGAATTTGATTTTAAAGGGGGACAATTCGAAAATGGACTCGTCCAGACTTTAAGTATTATGCATATATTACATAGGGGACATACGAGTTTTAGAGACCTTTAGGTGGGGCATGTTGCAGAACAAGCTGGGAAACACTGGATTAGGTCTTTTATCTCTTGACTTGGTCTCTGAAGCACTGCAGAACTGAAGCGAGCAGCAGAGAAAAAAAAAAAAAAAAACACAAGGTTAGAAGCACAGGCGAGGGTGCTTCAATTCTAGCCAAAGTACTGAACAGTTTCGTGACAATAATCTTGAGACAGTTACGGATTAGCGCTTTCCCTTCTCGGTTTGGTCACTAAAGTACCGCGGAACTAAAGCGAGCTGCAGAGAAAAGACACCATTTGTAAAGCATGAATTATACCGTTTCAGTGTAGCCCAGGTACTGAACAGTTTGATGATGATAACGTTGAACAGCTTCAAATTAGTCTTTTCTTGTCTTGGACTAGTCATTGAAGGAACAGTTTTACGACTTGATGATAATGATGTTCATACAGCTTCAAATTAGACCTTGTTCTCTCGAGATGGTCACCGAAAATATCGTTTTACTACTTGATGGTAATAATTTCGATGGCGCTGCGAATTAGACCTTGTTTCTCTTGAGCTGGTCACAAAAGCATTCGTTTTAAATTCAATATGATGCGTTTCACACAAAATCAGTTGTATATAATTGCCAGAAGACACAAAGTACAACATGAAAACATGTTAATGACACATTTGCAGAATGTCCTATTGAAACACACAAATGTTTGTTGTACGAAACCCAAAGTTTGTCTGAAACACTTCAACAGTTGTCAGTTGACTTTCGAAGTTAACTACAACTGGAAACACTGGCTAGCAGTCTCTTCTCTCAGTAAATCACTGTGTTTGGATAACTCACTCGTATGGCAACCCAAAGTCTTCTTGTAAGGTCTAGAAATGAAAAACAAAAAAATGTGAATTTAAGAAATACTTTTATGATTAAAAAGTGGGATTTTATTTAAGAAATATCCTTGTAATTAATTTAAAAAAAAAAAAAAATTACACACACGTTCTGTGTAGGACGTCGCAAACCACATATTTTACCAGGTCATGACAGTGAATACAGTTTTGTCCACCAGTTCGAAAGTAATTTCTTAGTTTCTGCTATTAAATCTTCCTCCGGTGATCAAACCAGCCGCTACTCCTTAGAAAAGGGTTGTATTCGCAGTTTTAATGTTCGCATATTCTAATAAAACAGATACTGTCCTTATGAACTAAACCAAGACAGCAAGCGGTAAATTGCAATTTAAATGAGAAAGCAACATCCAAAGATAAATAAATCGCAGAGTGGCAACGTGTTCAACCACAGAAAAATCAAAATCCTTTCCAGCACAGGAATGACGGTTACATTAGCGTGGAGTATCCGTTACAGGTACACTAAATATACTTTCTTTGGAGGTTGAGCAGAGCATCTGGGATTTACCTTGCTGGTCTGATACCCAGGAGGAAGTCCCAAGGATGATCTCGTCTTCTCCTTCTTCTTGGCATTCACCAGCTGCAAACTCGGGTGGAAAATTATGGTTGTTTGTTCACTTCTAGACTTTGATCCCGTTCTAAACGTTGAGACTGCGTACACATACCTTTCTCAGATCTGTCTTATTTGTATGCAAACTGTTGGTTCTTTGCTGCTCGGGCAGATGCACTCCGACTTCGAAGGGATCATTGCTAGTTAGTCGCCTTGTACGACATGCTTGTATGGGATAGAGGGTCTGTTACCTCCTTCCCCATTCCCTTGGGAGCCCGCAACCCACACAAGAAAAGATGATCAAACTTCTGGGAGCAGCTCACAGAGGAGGGAAAATACATTGCACAATTTATTTCAGATATTCTTCAAGGATGTCGAGACTAATCAAGAAGAAAGAACCCACTTTTTCTATAGGTCCTCATTTGCTTTACTCCAGACACATAACTGATAAGGACGGTGTTTTCCGTGTGGTTTACCACACACTGAAGAGGCGACTGATGAGAACGGTCGAAGCTTTAACCATTAAAATCAACAATCCCCTCGTTTGTAAGCAGACCGGGTTTATATTAAATTAGAAGTTAATTTAATACTTTACATACTTTATGTTGTTGTAACTCTGTAGTAACGTACCTGACAAGATACAGCGAAATATGCCTGGCAAAAAATTGTGCAATGTGTTGTTTGTGTCCAAATTATTTAAATTCATTACGGGAAAACGTATTTAAAAAATTTTTTTTTTCAAAAACCTAATAATGTATACATTATATAGTGAAAGTGCTGGAGATAATCCTATCTTACAATGAAGAAGACAGTTCCTAATTGAATTCATAAGACAGTGACATCAAATAAACATTGCACTCACTGGGTACAAGAAGGCTTCTGCAGCATCTGTTCCATACACATTACTGGCCACACAGTAGTATGAGAACCTGTGTCTCTCCCAGGTGATGTCTTTGATGATTAGGTCACCATTGTCTGTAATCTGAAAGTAAACCATATAACGTTAGATGACAGGATGCGCATCGCCACGGTACCATTCGCATTGTAGCATTCTCACTATACCATCCACAATGAAGAATCCCTATTATTCACACTGTAGTATCCCCATTGCAGCATCCACACTGTAGTATCCCCATTGTAGCACCCCCATTATAGCATCCACATTGTATAACCACAGTGTAGCATCCCCAGTGTACCATCCACATTGTACAGTCCATACTGTACCATCCAAAGTTTGGCCTCTCAACTGTACTAAGGCTGAGATGTCTGCCTTTTATGCCGTCTACACTTTACATTCAAAGAAAGAAAATCCATTATTTTATTACTTATTATTTTGTTTACAATTTATCAAAATACACCACTAGATTTACTTCTCAAACATAACGAAAAGAAAGCCTGCTGCATGCTTACACCCCTTATGCAAAAATTGGGAAAAGCTACCAAAAGCTAGTACTACGATGCCATTTGCACGCGCATACTCTCAACGGTGAACTGCCAAGGAGAAGCATATCACGTGATACCTTCTTCAGTGTTATCTTTACATGCTAACTCTTACACGTGCTAACTTATCAGACCTCGCCACTGCCCACCAGGTAATCCAATGTTTTCAAGTTACCACCGACGGAGAGTCACCTACACAGGACTGCGGTTTACTTCGGTTTTATACGACGCACATAACTTAGTCATAATTATAACCTAATGCTCCCCCTTTGATGAAGCTAGTTGAACGTGACGATTTTTTTCTCCAGCAGAGCATCTGCACACCCAACGATACTCAAACTCATCCAGGAGTATTCCGTAAAGGGTGCTCCATAAGTCTTTCTTCATGCAACTTTGTAAAATAATTGCCTATAGCGTCACCAGAACGTCACGGGAATTGTATAGTTATGAATAATCAGTCACTTTGGAGCTACCTATGGAAACATCCTGTAATAAGCGAAGAAAATGAGGTTCTTTGACTGTTAACAAAATAACTACCTGATAATCATCATCATTTTCGATCGGCTTGTTTTCTCGATACCAGGTAATGGTCGGCTTGGGAAACCCCTGGGCACGACAAAACAGCTGCACCATATTGTTGATGTACTCCAGCCTGGACACGGTCCACATGTAGATACGGGCCGGCTCTCCTGTGGTGAAGGACAAATGTGAAATTTTTAAAGGATACGTTTTACAATAAAGAGGGCTGCGGAGATGTGGTTTTATAGAGGAATGATGAGAATACATTGGACAGGGGAGAAAAAAAAAACGTAATAAAGATGTCTTGGATAGATGGGATATCCGAGGTCGTAAATACCATCACCTAACACGTGCCAAGGCCCGCTCTGGATGTCTTTTAAATGCTGAATGACAGAACGGGATCAGAGATGAAGAAGAGGAAGAAGAAAAAGAAGGAGAAAAGGGAGGAGGAGGAGGAGAAGAAGAAGTAGAAGAAACTGACTCATGAGAGAACTGATTGCCAATATTAGAAAGAGATAATGTTATTCTTTGGTCATGTCATGAAAAGGGGAACACTGGAGTACATCGTGAAAGTAGAAAAATGTGAGTTGGAAAGAAGCAGAGGGAGACTGGAGTCCACTGGGACTAACTTTGTACCAATTATTAGCGAAGCCTTTATAGTAAACAGGGCTGCCAGAACACCTTAGGCACTCCTTTCAGTTTTTAGTTTTACGTTTCTTCAGCGTCCTACTTTTCCTCCTAACTCTTAGAAATGGAACGACCACGACGACGATGATGATGCCTGCTGCTGCTACTGCTGCTCCTGCTACTCATACTGCTACCGCTTCTGCTCCTCCTCCTCCTGCCGCTCCTGCTGCTGCTGCTCCTGCTGTTGCTGCTGCTCCTGCTGTTGCTGCTGCTCCTGCTGCTGCTCCTGCTGCTGCTTCTCCTGCTGTTGCTGCTCCTGCTGCTGCTTCTCCTGCTGTTGCTGCTGCTCCTGTTGCTGCTTCTCCTGCTGTTGCTTCTGCTGCTGCTTCTCCTGCTGTTGCTGCTGCTGCTGCTTCTGCTGCTGTTGCTGCTCCTGCTGCTGCTCCTTCTGCTGTTGCTGCTCCTGCTGCTGCTTCTCCTGCTGTTGCTGCTGCTCCTGCTGCTGCTTCTCCTGCTGTTGCTGCTGCTTCTGCTGCTTCTGCTGCTGCTTCTCCTGCTGTTGCTGCTGCTGCTGCTCCTGTTGCTGCTTCTCCTGTTGCTGCTTCTCCTGCTGCTGCTGCTCCTGCTGCTGCTTCTCCTGCTGTTGCTGCTGCTCCTGTTGCTGCTTCTCCTGTTTCTACTGCTACTACTGCTATTACTTCTGCTACTACTACTGCTGCTGCTGCTATTGCTGCTACTACTACTACTACTACAACCTCTCAGTTAGATAGAAGTAACTAGGCTCTAGTAAACAAAATAAAAAACCTGGATAGCAAATGAACAAGGCACATTTTAGACACTGTTCGAATCCGTCATCCAACACCCCCCCCCCCACCCCTCCCTCTCCCAACACAAGGGTTTTTACTGGCTGGCCGTGCTACACTAGCCTGACGCTACGCACTAGTCTGATGCTACTTTTAGTCCTGTGTGGGTAAGAAACTATTCTGAAATAGAATTGATTACCTTTTTTATATTTCTTTCCAACACATTTCTTGAGATCAGGATACATGATTGAATTTTCTGTAGAAAGAAGAATTTGTTAATTGCATGATGGATTTATTGTTAATTTTGGATAAGTACAAACACACTGGCGTTTCAAGTTGATTTGAAGTATTCATTCAAACATGTCATTCGAAAGAAAGAAGTATAAACTAAATATAACAACAGAGTGCGAAGACATTAAACAGGCATGGTATGTTTCACCCCACCAGGACATCACCCAAGCGATACACACGCGATGAAACAAAGTGCCACCATCCGGATGAGGATCACCCGTGGAGAGGTCCAGGACACCCCGTTCAGTTTCTAGGTCACATTTATGGCCCGGCTATATTTAGGGCCCCGGAACAAGCTGAGGCAGGGCTTCAAGAAAAAAAATTGCATCCGACGTTAAAAAAAAATACCTTGGCAGGCTTGAGTGAGAAGTAGAACGGAGTACTTATGGGTTACTACCCTTGTGGCACGATGTTGATCCGTTGTTTAAACTTAAACCTATACCTTTTTTCCCCCGCAGTGGGACCCCACACGGAGAAGAACCTTAAATCTCCCTCAAAACCCGAAGCGGTACAAGAAGAGGTGAAGAAGAAGAAAGAAGATTAAAATATTGACAACCTCTACTTGAATAGTCAGCTTTTTTGCTGCATGATGAAAACTGTCAATGGTGAAGACGGGGGGAAAGGGGCGGTGGTGGGGTGTCAGAGAAACATACCGATGAAAATAAATAAATACTGATACACATAACAAACGGCAGAGAAAAGAAAGAAAAAGAAACAAGACGTAAAGATAGAAAGAAAGAAAGAAAAAGAAACAAAGAGGGAAAGAAAGAAGGAAAGACATAAAAAAGAGGGACTCGGAGAGGTTGCGAAAAAAAGAGGTACACAGGAATAAAATGAAGTAACGAGACAGAGAGGGCGAGAGAGAGAGAGGATAGGGAGGAAGAGAGAGAGAGATAGAGAGAGAGAGAGAGAGAGAGAGAGAGAGAGAGAGAGAGAAGACTAGCACTTTCCAACAGTACTGACCAAGACAACATGCAATAGCATCATCATGTGCCCTGTCAATAAGTGTAAGCTGTCATTTTTCGCCATTTCACAAAATCACCAGAATCACGGATCAGGTCAGTGTTCTTATCTCGCTTCAGTAAGTTGTGCCACCATGACTCTTTTTGGCATTTTGAAGAATGTAGTTTGCTATTGCTGTCCTTCTTAGAAGTGACCATTATCACTCTGCATCGATGTTTCGAAAGAGGCAAGGGTGTGAAGACAACTTATCACAAACATTAGAAAGAGACAGTCATCATTTTGTGGTCATGTTATCAGAAAAAAGGAAACTGTATCATGTTGTGACCACTGGAAAAATCTGTGGGGAAAGAGGCAGAGGAAGACAACGCGAGAAGATTCTTGACAACCTTTTTTTTAAGTCATTGTGTCTGCACACAAACTGCACCCATGCTGTAGAAGATCGCAGTTTGTGGAGAGTCGTGATCGCTCATGCCAGTCGCCAATGTGCTTGATGATGATGGTAATACTGATTCTAAAAACATCTTGCAGAACCTGAGACCATGACAAACAAACTGTTTATCGATTCCTCTCAAATGCAATCCACCCCCTGTCTCATGGTTTCACCTTATCCAGACAGGAGACTAAACAAGTACTCCACCTTGATTAAGGGCGTCCCCCCCCCCTCCCCCCCCCCACCCCACCCTTTCATAACACCGTAAGTAAGAGGCAGGAAAAATAGTAAACAGAGCCGACAAGTAAACACAATGCCGAGCGAACAGAGTACTGGGGGACAATGAACTTACCAACTTTGAGGAAAGTGGTGCGAGATTTCCTGATCAAAGCGTTCTCGGCCACGCATGAGTACTGACCCTGACTGGCTTTGCCCAGACAATCCAAGAACAACCTAGAGCGGGTCGACGACAGCCTCAGCATATTGCTTCCTGTGTTTGTACGATCTTCGTATGACGTTTCATCTTCTCGGATGATGTTTTTTGAAGAACCCTGAAAGTAAGAATATCAATGAAGATTTCACGAAAGCGGACGTGGTTAATTAACCACTGAATCAATCAGATGCCGTCTGTAATGGATCTCCAAACCACTGTTTGATCTGCCTGCAAATCTTCCAGACCTCTGCTCATTCTGTTGACGCATTGCTATGTCTCTTTTTTATTTTGTTTTCATATTTTCATTAAACTGTGTTGTAGTATCAGAGTTTTAGGATTCTTCTTATCACAGAGCAGGAGACAGTCATCATTTTTCGGCCATATTATGAGAAGAAGGAAAATATAACATGTTGTGACCATTGGAAAGATCTGTGGAAAGAGGGATAGAGGAAGACAACGAGAGAAGATGCTTGACAGTCTTGTTGCATGGCATGGAGGTGTGTCGGCACACGAACTGATACATGCTGCAGTAGATCGCAGATTTTGGCGAGACATGATCGCCCACGCCAGTCGGCAAGGCACCTGATGACGATGATGAGGATTCTTCTAATTGTGATAATAAATATTTACTTTGTTTTTCTTATTCACAACTTTCTTTTAATTTGCAGTCTCTCATAAACCTCTCTATTTTATCAATTTTGTTTAAACGAAACGTGACATATTCTTCTATATATCCAAATCTCCAGAATCTCTGTTTGACTATCTAGTTGCTTGTTCACTGTCTATGGTTCCGGTTGTTACAGTAGGTTTGGGTAAACATAACATTCAGCAATTCGCATATCGAATATGTTATTCATCTCTCTTAACGTTATTGATTTAATTTTTTGAAAATTTATTTTTCTTACTTTATTCTATCTATTTCTTTAGGTACCTCCGTATTATGATACTACCTCTATTTTTTTTTCAACCACCAATTAGCATTCGATTCTTTATGTCTTCATACCTGCCACTTTTATATATTGGGCAATTCCTTTACCCGTTTTAGGCTATGTGAGTCAGTTTGAGAATAAAATCGGTTCTCGGATAATTTGAACCCTTGGCCATGAGATAGACAGACAGGCATACTCGAAACCCTAAAACAAAGGTTGATGAATGACACCAAGGTGGTACTGGATTCCATCCATGATATCAAAGGAGTTACACAGGATAGAACTTCTTCTGAACCCTTGAACTCTAGCTGGAGATATCACCCGCCTCCATTAATCTCTCTGGCTGGCTGACAGGTTCAGACAACATAAAATGGATGTGCAGAACGGTGTCCTGAAACCAGTACCGTTTCACTTCAGTTCTCAGAATCACCAAGGTGAGGAGTCTCTCGAGAATCGCTTTATTTTTACCTTGGGGACCCAAACACCTAGGGGACTGAACGATCAACACAGTTTCAGCTAAAATTCTAGACTTACGGCCCTTGGCATTCTCGGGCTATTTATTCTTAGGCCACACGTGTCACATCATTCCCCAGTCCAGCGCAGACAGCCCAGTCGGACACAGCTCTCGCTCGCTCGCTCAAACCGCCCGATCAGCCACGTGTCTCTCGTTAGCTTGCTAACTATCCATTCGTAGCCTGATTATCGATAGCTAGATACTGGTCAGAACTCGCTTGATATTCGGCTGAGTTTTGGCTCGACTACGCTATCGTTATTCGTCTGCGGGTGGGTTATTAGCGGCCCGGGAGCACAGCATTGTTGAGGAGCCAGTCATACCAGCCAGTTTTTTGAACGATTGTCTCGAGAACTGCGGAGAAAAGCACGCTTGGGTGTCCTTTTCAGGATACTCTAACAAGCCTTGCCAGACTCTGCAGGGACCGAGCAATCAATTGCCGCCCGACTTACCAGCCTCAGCCACACGAAACCATGGCCCGTGGTAAGAAGAATCCGGTCCAGCGCCGGGACACCAGGGCATCCTCAGCCAAAAAGGAGGAAGCACCTGTCGCCGCACCAGAACTGACGATGCCAGACCCGGTCGACGACCCGGAGGAGACACCTGCCCAGACGCCGCCAGCCCTAGATGTAGGCCCTATCGAGGCACCCGTCTACCCAGAAGCCGCCCCAGTCGTGGCGCAGGGAGCCACCTACACCCGCCCACTCAGGCAGCAACAGCAGCAGCGACCAGGTACCAAAAACACCGAGATTCTGCAGTGCGCACGATGCAACAAGGCGTGGCACTCTGCCTCGTCATGTCGAAGCGGCCCGTCGTGCCGTTACTGTTCCGGCCCACATCCGTTCAAGGAATGCCCTCTGGCAAAAGTGGACCCGGACATTAAGAAGCCCAACGCCAGCCGGAGATGCTCCAACTGCGCAGGAGCACAAAGTGCGAGATACATGGGGTGCACGTATCTAAAGGAATGCAGAAGAACCCTGACGACCACCACCACTCACAACCCAGAGCCGAAGCGAAGATCAAAGGCGCCTAGTCCGACAGTTGTGCCACCCACGAACAACGAAATTGCACTTCTAAGGCAGGAAATCAGAACCCTTCAAGAAGAGAACGCTAAACTCAAGGCACTCAGAACTCAGGACAGGGACGAGATGTTAGACCTGAGAAACATCCTACAGGCATCACTCGAGTCCCAGAGGAAACTAGAGAAGGAGAGCACTGAAATGGCAACTTTCAAAATCGACCTGATGTCCAACCTAACCGAACTCAAGAAGATGAAGGAAGGAAATGCCGTAGCCGCCAACGAACTCAAAGACAGCCAGAAAAACCTACTGTCCGAGGTCTCCATCATCAAAAAAGACCTGACAGACACCAAAGAAAAGCTAAAGAAATCAAGCGAAGAATGCGCTAAACTCAGCTCTGCACTACAAGCCACGCACAAAGTGATAGAGGCCAGAGAAAACGCGAAGAAAGAAAAAGACAGGAAAAGGCAGATCCACGACGCACACTTGAAACCCGGAGATCTAGAGAAGAAATGCACACAAGACCTGTACATCCTCAAGGAATGCCTGAAAGACGACTTCTCAGCAATACACAAGGAGGTGAAACAACTCAAAGAGGCCACCCGACATCTTCAACTCGAGAGTATTAGGAACAACAAAACGAAGATAGCAACCCTCTCACACGGAAACGAAGCCCACATTAAGTAGCAAATTGAAAGCCAACATCCAGCAACCAATGAAAGCCACCCAAGCCGCCATGACAGCTAAACAACCCCGCCCACCAGCCCGGAGAAACCTCACAGCCCACAACCAGACGACACGATGTCCGCCGCCCAAGCCACGCCCACTCACCTCACTCTGACAGAAGCAACAAACCTCAGGCAGAAATGTAAATCGCCACAACAGAAACGTCAATAACTGGAGAACAAACTCCAGACAACAAAACACCGCTTCGATATAACCAACGCTCAGTTTAGGAGCCGGTTGAAAGAGGCAAGAAGTTTTTCGTTTTTTTTTACCAACACCAGTTACCAGTCACGTCATTCGGCAACTGGGTGGCCCCCTGGCTGGTCGGGGAATGACTTAGTCGTCGGTCGGACAATATTTGGGTCTGCAAGAGTCTTCATGACTACTTGGTGGCAAGCAATACTACGCCATTTTATATGGTACACGTACACCTTGACACGGTTATAACCTAGAGCTCCCCCTTTGTGGATGCTGGTTGAATGTGACGATTAATTTTTTCCCTCACAGCAAGCAAGAAAGCAAGTGTCTATTCATTCCGCTGGCACGACATCAACGTGGCTTCTTCAGAATACGTCAGTTAAGTGATTTTGTGTTTTCGTGTGGTTTTGTTTGATATACGTATGTGCTGATGAAGGCACTGTAGCAGCAACGTTCATTTTTCTTGTATTATATTGGGAAGCTCGCAGATCTACTTTTCGTTTGGTATTATATCTCTTTGGTTGGCCTTCTTTTTCCAGTTGGTGACACCAAGTGTTTGTAGATCTCTCTGGATATTATCTGTGACGACACGCTCGGTGACTTCAGAATGTCTTTCCTCAACCTACTTTCATTTCTATGTATTTTAAAGCGTACAGAAAAATATGGTTGTGGGTATATCCTAAATCTAAGTAAGACGACCAGAACAAACATATTTAATTCTCCTGGACTGCTGGTGATATCAAACACTGAGACTTTTTCACAGATGTAAAGTGTTAAGGTACAGATGAGACTGACCAGAAGTGGCACCAGTGAAATTGAAAGCTCAGACTTAGTGGCTGGAGATTTTGCTTGCCAAACTGAGGTGTCAGATAATTATCAACTAACCAGACCTTTAGGAGCAGATAACCCAGGCTAATTGTGATTATCTCCCCCTGAGGTTACCCAACTTGAGTGCATGTCAGATCGCTAGTATTGATATGGTCTGGTGAAGGTGTTAGCAAACAAATTGGCAGGTTGAAGTAGGGGGAAGGTGTGACTTTGCTTATGAGCACTGGCTAGCTTGATGGACCAGGCGAATGTAACCGTGGGAATGCAAACAAGTGTTGTACAGTCCTGACTGACAGCGAATAGACTTACCCACGGGGAGAGGCTGTCGCATCCTTGAATGACAGTGGTTTTAGGAGTAATGTGGGAGGAGTTTAGAAGAAGTTATAAAAGGGTGGACTCAAGGGCTGGGAAGTGAGACTCTGCCATTAGCACACCATCTGTTAGGCTTAAACCCTAAGCTTGAGACATAACTTTTGGCATTGCGTTTTCATTTTCCAGGTAAGCGAAACTATTTCAAACCTTTATTTCGTGATAGAAATCTGTCTTTTTGCTCAAGTGTGTGTCTTCATCACGTTGTAGTACTCCTTAGCGGACATTTCTCCATTCTCGTAGGACACTGTCAATTTGCTTTTTATCGTAATTGATATTGTCATGAATGTTTTTTCTTGCACATGTGTTTCAATGGTGTATAACTTAAATGTTGATGTTATCATTTAAATTTAATTAACTATAATTTTTCTGAAATCACAAGCTTGAAGATAACTTTGGCAGTCTTTTCACGTGTAGTTAATTTGAATCTGTATTACATACTGCTAACACAATGAATGTGTTTAACTCCCGGGAGGCTAATGCGGAGATTGATCCCGGAGAATAAATCCCTGAGATTTGTTATTTTATTTGCCCCAAAAATATTGTTAGCATTCTGGGCGCGTCTTTTGTTTCAAGCATTAATTCCATAACTTGTTCTGTCAAACTGATTGTCATTTTGAGTCTGCACGAGAGCTGACATCAGACATAGAAGACTTAACTATCATTACAGGACGTGAGTAGAAGAAGGCAGGAAATGTAACAACTACAATGTGAGACGAAGTTTTTCCAGACTGGACAGGAGTGAATGTGAAAATGAGGGAGAGATGAAATGTTTTATTAGAATAGACATGTTTGGTATTTTTATAATAAACATGTTTGGTGTACGTCTAGATTAGATACTACACATATGCGCTTGTTTCTTTACCACAGTTCCCACATTGGGCAGGGACTAGTAGGCATCCATTCTTTGCCGACCGTCTGCGTGTAACGACCTGCTTGAAGCAGTGAGGACGACAAACTGGAAAAGGATAGGCAGGGTCTCAAACTGAGAACTGCCTGAGGTTTATTTTCTCCAATTATATGAGTTACGTATAACTTTCATAATTTCACCAGTAACACCATCTTTACCCTACTAGCCTAAACACGTTTATTTTAATTTTGGTTGCATTTATTCAATAAATCTTGTTCATGTTGTTACAAAATAGTTGAGTAAATTGTGTCCTTAGATTCAAGTGTCTTTGTGCATACTAGTTTACTTCAGCTGACAAATATGTAAATCACTTGATGGGGGCTTTTGTTAAAAATTAATATCAGGAGAGGAGAAAGTCGGAGGGGTTAACTGTGTATCTTGATATTATTTCATTGGGTTCATCTTGATATCTATCTATCCCTTTTCCTACTCCTGTGGATACAAGTACAGCCACTTTCATTTAATGGAACGAGCCACTCGCTGTTTTCTTGGTTATCCAGGACTGTCTAGGATCAACATTGCCTAGATATTAGTCCAGTTTCTCACGCGGGTGGGGGCTGTTAGGGTTCAAACCCACACACTCACTATATAATTGTATTTACCCACGTGGGTTCGCGACATTATCTCTCCGTCGTCTTCTTAGTTTGCCTCGTATTCTACGACAATTCACTTCCCTTGTGTGTTTCGTTTTTATCTCTCTGTCTCTGATATTCTCCCAGTATGACCCAGTCATTTCAGTATATAACCTCTCGTGATGCCAGTGATCAATGGTGATTTAAACAGATCATGAATTTAATTGTTGCTTCTTACTCTCAATGCCATGTTGTTTGTAACTTTGCTGGACCCAAAGACTCGTCGTAAGACGCTGTTTTCGCACATTTGTAATAATATAAAGTGTTGATTAGACCAGTCGTTTCATATGGGGCTATGAAACTTGAGCACAGGACTGAGCGAAATGCAGAATTAGACTGCGAGCCCTTCTTCTTCTTCTTCTTCTTCTTCTGCCTTTATATCCCCCAATCGAGCATAGGCCCTAAACCAACTCCCGCCAAGTCCTTCTATCCTTCGCCATTGCATGGAGCTCTCCCCATGTACTGCAAGCCCTATGAAACATATAATGGCATAACAGGGCAATGAAAATGACTATGATGATGAGGGTGAGGATGACGATGATGATAAGGATAATAATAAGAATGATGATAAAATGACACATCATCTTCTTTCAAGAGAAGGGGAAATCTAGAGTATATTGTGCCAAATGAAAACTTAAAAGGGAGGTGAGCCAGAGAAAGAAAGAGAGAGAGAGAGAGAGAGAGAGAGAGAGAGAGAGAGAGAGAGAGAGAGAGAGAGAGAGAGAGAGAGAGAGAACATCAAAAACATGTAGGAACTTCTGTTTCAAAAATAATTAACAGTACACGTGACAGAAGGCGATGGACACATATAAATACCAGCGCCACATAAGACGGATTACAAAAATGAAGAAGCTCCGAAAGTTGCAACTGACCTGTGAAATCCTTATTCCATTCTTCAGCCAGTGGATGGTTGGTGGTGGACTCCCCCCAGCCTCGCATTCCAGGACAATGCTGCCATGTCTGGCTCCTGTAGTCTCAGGCTGGAACCCCTTTCCTTTGAAAAAGAGGCTGCTGCTCTGTATGTCGTTGCTTTCCAGAGTTCCTGATGTGGTAATGGAAGCAGCAAGTAAAGATTTTCTGAAGATGGCAGACAGAATACACCAGAGTGATGATATATAATCTGTTTACACAGAATACACCAGAGTGATGATATATAATCTGTTTACACAGAATACACCAGAGTGATGATATATAATCTGTTTACACAGAATTCACCAGAGTGATGATATATAATCTGTTTACACAGAATACACCAGAGTGATGATATATAATCTGTTTACACAGAATACACCAGAGTGATGATATATAATCTGTTTACACAGAATACACCAGAGTGATGATATATAATCTGTTTACACAGAATACACCAGAGTGATGATATATAATCTGTTTACACAGAATACACCAGAGTGATGATATATAATCTGTTTACACAGAATACACCAGAGTGATGATATATAATCTGTTTACACAGAATACACCAGAGTGATGATATATAATCTGTTTACACAGAATACACCAGAGTGATGATAAATAATCTGTTTACACAGAATACACCAGAGTGATGATATATAATCTGTTTACACAGAATACACCAGAGTGATGATATATAATCTGTTTACACAGAATACACCAGAGTGATGATATATAATCTGTTTACACAGAATACACCAGAGTGATGATATATAATCTGTTTACATAACCTTCTAAGACACAATCTTTCAAGATAGATGGATAGTGCGCAGCGGGAAGACAAAGAGATAAATACCTGTATGGCTGAGGTACGTGATGTAGGTAGAACAAGAGCACTGACCTGGTCTATGTTCATTGTGATCGTATGGCACGACGAGCCATGGCCACCCATGCTCATGTGATGATGGCGATGACGATGATGATAATGATAAGGGCTTGATATTTGCGAGTGAAGATATGTGACAGGAATGATCAAATGAAATATGCCCCAGTAGCTTTATTACAAACGTGTAAAATAATTGTCAAAAAATAATTTTTTAAATGATTCAAAGAAGTGAATATGGCCTGGCAGACTATGTGAAAGTAAATGAAACAATATTTCACCAAAGACAGACAGACAGACAGACAGACAGACAGACAGACAGACAGACAGACAGACAGACAGACAGACAGACAGACAGACAGACAGACAGACAGACAGACAGACAGACAGACAGACAGACAGACAGACAGACAGACAGACAGACAGACAGACAGACAGACAGACAGACAGACAGACAGACAGACAGACAGACAGACAGACAGACAGACAGACAGACAGACAGACAGACAGACAGACAGACAGACAGACAGACAGACAGACAGACAGACAGACAGACAGACAGACAGACAGACAGACAGACAGACAGACAGACAGACAGACAGACAGACAGACAGACAGACAGACAGACAGACAGACAGACAGACAGACAGACAGACAGACAGACAGACAGACAGACAGACAGACAGACAGACAGACAGACAGACAGTCAGACTAAAATAATCGCTTGCACACGTCTATCAGTAAAGTTGCAACTGAACCTAAACCTGCAAAAAATAAAGCTATTCGGTGTGTTTAGAAAATGTGTTTTAATATTGTCCATATTGCGGTAAAAATTGACTCGATTTCAAAATAAAATAAATCAAAATCCTATATGCTGGCGTGAGTGCCAGAAAGAGACGGAGTGATTGTGAAGCAAGTAGTGTATCAGCGTGATACGACGCGCATTTCGATTAAGCCTCCTTCTTTATTCTTAGTAAAAGATGGCTGCCAAATCTGCTTGGTTTCTCTGGGAGGCTGTTCTTTATCCTTAGTAAATATCGATCGGGGCAGCCTCCCTCTTTATCCTTAGTAAATATCGATCGGGAGGCTGATGACAGCACACGTGACGGGTTTTAGGGGAAAGACATATGGTGCATAAATCGATACTTTGTCTCCATAGCAACTGGTTATTCATTGTCGGTATGTTGGGGTGTGGGTATTTTTAGGCGGACTGGTTTAAGGAAGACAAATATTTCTTTAGTGCAGGGCCAGATGTTGGTTAAAGTGGTGGATGACCGGGGATATATTAGAAAGGGCGACTCGAGCTCCATCAGCATCATCATCTGTGTCATGGTATTGAAGGGATGGTTTGAGCTGTAGTAAAAAGGAGGACATACGACAGAAGGGTAGCTGTCTTGTCATAGTGTTGAGGGCAGAAGAGAAGGGGCTTATCTGACATCGGTGAGCAGCGGGGCGGGCGGGGCAAGGGACACGGGGCGACAGGGCGACTAAAACGGTTGGTGTTGGTTTATGGGTTCTGTAATAGACAAAAAATTAGAAGTGGGTTGTTAGCGGGAGATATATATGTTATAAAACGAAACAAGTTATGGGATATGAAAATAGACATAGGCAGCAGTGACAGCCGGCAGAGGGGGAGGGGGCGTTTTAGGGTTTAGGTAAAGAAACCTAGAAAGGTGGTTTGATGACCGGGGATATATACTAAAGGGCGACTTGAGCGCCATCATCATCATCATCATCTGTGTCATGGGAGCGAAGATCGACTGCTCAGGGATGGTTTGAGCTATAGTTAAAAGGAGAACGTACAATAGAAGGGTGGGCGGCTTGTCATAGTGTTAGATGTTGATAGTTTAAGTTTTAGTAAAAAAGGAAAACTTTAACAAAGAGGCGACCGTTGTGACATATTATTGGATATTGACCGCTCAAGGAGGGTATGAGTTGAAATAAAAACAATATGGTAATTTATAGCAAAACGGCGACTCTTGTGACATATTGAGGAGGCCGATCGCTTATGAAGGGTTTGAGTTGAAGTAAAAAGGGGACTTTATGGCAAAACGGCGACTTTTGTGTCATAGCAGCGAATGCCAACCGATCATTGAGGTTTTGATTTTAGGAAAAGATGGGAATTTATGGCAAAATGGCAACTTTTATGTCAACAATAATAAGGAATGCCGGCCGCGCAGAAATAGTTTAAGCTGTAGTAAAAAGGAAAACATACGACATTTGGCGTGTGTCTTATCGTAGTGTTAGATATTGATAGGTTAGGGAGGGTTTAGTTGCAGTAAAAACGAAAGCGTTAACAGAAGGGCGACTTTTGTAACATATTATGGGAGGCCGGCCACTCATCCGTAGTTTAAATTGTAGTGGGAAAAATAGCAAAAGTTCGACAGGTGTGGCAAAGTGTCGGGTTCTGGCCGTACATATATGGTTGAGCTGTAGTTTAAAAAAAAAGGAGAACTGTTGTGTCATATTATTAGATATCACCGCTCATAAAGGGTTTACGTTGTAGGTCAGAGGCGGCGCTACCAGACGATGAAGGTGGGCTGGGGCAAATTTAGGTGCCAAAAGGGCGCTATGTCTTTCTCGACAGACAGCGTAAACCACACACGAGACGGTAAATGTCTTTCGCTGGTCTTTACAAGGCAATAACTGAAGACGCCAGATAACCCGATCACTATCCTTGGGGCAAAGGGGAGCTGGGGCAATTTTGGGTACCAAAAAGGCGCTATTTGTCCCTTCTGAAGGCTGTCTCATCAACGGGCTGTCCGACCTACTAGCCCTCTATTTCGAGACGGACGCAGCAACCGTTAATGAGACAGCCTTCACAAGGGACAAAAAATTTGTAAGATAGCTTCTGTGACAGCTAGTTGATAAAACTTGTATGTGTAAAGAACTCAAGGCGCCTCTTGGAGACGCTCGGAGGAAAAAGATAGTCGCCCCCTCTGTTTTTCTAAATCATCCCTTTCACTTTATGAAAATTTGCACAGTCATGTATGGTACCACCCTGGAGGCGACTATAGGAAACAACTTCGATGGCCAGTTCGTCAGTAGGACGCTTTGTTTTTTAGCCGGAGACGACAGCCTTCTTGAAGAACCCTCGAAAAGCTTTGTATGTTTACAGTAAGACAACCTTTCCTGTAGCACAACCTGGTAGACGATCCAGATAATAGGCTTGGACATCTAGCTTCAAGGGCGACTAGTTGGTTATCTGCGTTTTGTACAAATACAGTAGAAGGAAAAGACATTGTGCCTCTTAAAGTGGTCAAGTGATTAAAAAAAAAAAAAATATTGATCTCTTTAACGCGTGTCAAGAAAAGTGGGACTGTATTGAAGCCCTTTGATATGCACAGTGAAAAAAAAAAAAAAAAAAACATGTTAGCAAAAATAGCGATAATTTTGTCACAGTGTGGTTTTCGTATTTGATAAAAGTCGTCTTGTGTTTCTTAAAAGGAGCCCTATGTTGAATAAAAAAGTTGCCTCATGCTTCGTCAAAGTCATCTTATATTTCGTAAAAGGTGCCGTCTTGTTTCTAACCGTTGTCTCTTATTTTCTACACGTCACCCTGAAAGTCACTGTGTGTCCGAGTCGTCAGGGATAGCTGGTGAGAGATGTGTGTCATATCTTGTGTGATTCAATATGTATCAAAGGACCAAGACATCAAGTGTTTCCCCAACAGAAAAGACGTCTTAGCCACTCGCATAGTACCAATGTTAATGACTTACCAAGAGAGGTTAGTGAACGAGTGACTAACGTTGTCCTACGACACGCCGACACCGCCGAAGACGAGCAAATTAGGAGGAAGACAACTGCAAAGACGACGAGTCTCCTGTTTTCCTAAAGTCGCATCGTGTCCGAGGCAGCCGGGACAGTTAGTTAAAACCTTGGGTTATGCAGTCGACGACGAAGACGACATTAGAGGCGACGATGACGCCGAAGACGACGACCCGCCGAAGTCAACAAGGAAGACGACAACGAGGACGCTGACAACGCCGGAAGCAACGAGGAAGACTTAAGTGACCTAAGATGTCTCGTCAAGAAAAATATCGGGTGGTTGCTAGGTCCCAGGGGCAGTGCACTACTTACTAAGAACCGTCGGCAACTGACTTGACAATACCAGTGAAAGACATGCTCTGTCTCTTGCGTGCTTTGTGGTGTCCCGTAGAGAAAACCATCGAGTGATTTGCTGTGTCAGAAGGACAGTTAGCTACTTAATAGGAACCGTAGGCGACGACTTGTCAAGACCAGTGAAA